TTAATCCAGAAACATAAAATTGCGTAATTTTGTTTATCTTATTGCAATCGTCGACCATTTAAACAAATTCGCCTTCGATTGGAGCTGGTCTGACCTTGAGCTGACCCGAAGATACTGACCTTATCTGACTTTAAGTTGGTTATAATTTGTGAGCGGAAAGAAACCGTTCCGACAATGATGGTACATGGACATGGCTGTTTCATGTCTCCCAACCACATTTCAAAATTACTTTCACCATTTGACCTTGAGGTTTCCCTTGGAAACTGAATTGGCCCTGTGCTGGTTTGAAGGTGGTGGTGGTGGCTGGTGCAGGCAAAGTACGACATCGCTTCACAGCCACATATCCGAATTGGTTCCACAAGTAGCAAAATACGAGATCATGAACTGCCGTAGTGAAGCACAGTATCCTTGCGATTCACTGATACAGGTCGCTTTTCTGCATTTGGCTTACTTGGAATGCATCTGAACGAGCCCTGACATGGTTTGAGTTAATTTGGACTGAATGTGGACATCATGCTAGCTAACAGGTGTTATCACACGAGATGGTGACACACAAAGCCAGTGTGATCCAGTGATTGGCATTCACAAGGCGTTTTTGATCACCGATCAATGAAGGTGCCTCAGACAGATTGCGTTATCTACCGCTGTTGCATTCTCAACGTTGATCTTGTGCAAGGAATTTGCAGTCAGGTCGAAATTGCAGCGGATTAACAGTGATCGCGCCTGAGCAAACCCTGTTTGTTGATCTGACAGTGACAATGACTCATCTCCTTTTCATTGGTTACTGTTATCAGAAGCCTGACATCCGTTCACTCATCCACACTCTAAGACACACAGGTGGCTGTCATGACATGAATAAACGGTCGTGCCCTCTGTCGCCTCTCTTTACTTTATTCTCGGCCTGCTACGGTCGGTTAACTAGGGGGTTGCAAGATACCTTTGGATTGACTTGTGTGATCCCTTGACACGTCGGCTCTATAATCACAGTAAGCGTTTATCGCGTGCTCATGGTTGAAGGCTTTTTACAGTCACACAAATGTTCTGTCCTGTTAAAAAACGTGGACCTTGGGAGTGGAAAACCAATTGAAGAAGTTCTGCGTTGAAGGAACGAACACGTCTAGTTTTTTTCAGCAGAAAAAAACACATGAATCATGTACAACTCACACCTTTTGTGGATTATGTGGGTGTGTGCGAGCGAGGGCGTGTGTGAAATGCGTGACTTACATCCAAACGTCAACATTATTTATCACCGTCATTGTGCTGAACAGAAGGGTGCATGGATGAAGCTTCCTCTAAGTCCTTAGTCCACGAATCCACCGCCCTCTCAATAACTGCACTTTAACACACACAAATTTCAAGGTCGTATCTGCATAACCAAGTAGACTTAAGGGTTTGTTGTGAATAGCATTGATTCACACTCCGTACTCCGGTCGCTCCAGCCTCCGACACAGGGTTCTCCCTTTCGCAGCAAGTCGCCAGCCGTGCAGATCCTGAACTCCACCTTCACTAGCACGAATATTTATCTTGGACTAACCTCACTCCTAGGTCTCGATGTTAGCGCATCGAGGCTTCACACATCTGAGGTATAAATACACATGCGCAAACCCTACATACGACATAACGACACCAATGAGGTTGAGCTCTGAAGTAGACGGTTGTGTCCACGCCCTCTCCGCTCTTTTTCTTCATCGTGGGTGTCAGGGGAGCTTAATCGGACCAGAGTTAATTCCATGGACCCAGTGTGGTTCAAGACCACGTTCTGGGTAAAGGGATTCATGGATAATTTAGAATGGGCAGGTAGCACCGCTATTCATTACAGATTAAATCAATCAAAAAACATTTGTTTCGACGAAGACCTAAACGGCTTATCATTGGTCACTCAAGACGCTTGGTCATTGGATAAAGCAGGTCAAGACCTAAATGTGATTGGCTAGAAGATGTAGAAATGGGACTTGGACTCGATCGCTGATTCCAATCGGGTGCGGACAACATAACAAGGTTGTTACATTACTAGACAACCATGCTAACTCAAGTGCGTACGTTGATTGGTTCTATTCCAAGGTTATATAAGACTGGCCCAAAAACCCATCCAACAGCACAATATGTCAATATGTACACGAACGATTCGTGGAGGCCTGCATTTTGCAAATCGAAATTTTGCTGTTCGCACATTTCAAAATCCGCTCCCAGCCAATAGGAATGGAGAAGAATCTGCGAATTTAGTGCCTGTATACAGTGAACACTTGAAAATTGAAAAGCGATTTAAGTAGCACCATTTGTTTACACTTGACAGCCTAAAGTGTGCAAACACGAGGTTCACATGTTAACAAAAATAAAGTAAAATGCTTAATGAGGGAACCTCGAAGGGATAGACTTGGTCAAAATAGTTTCCGGATGTGTTTATTCAAAATTTTGGCGATACAATAATCGTCTTTATTAATACAACGGTTGCTGGGGAACGTCCAGTGTGGGTAGGATGCCATTTTGTCGATATAGTTGAGTTATTAAATAGTAGGCTTTTGATCGATATCGATAACGCAGATATCGGTAATAACAGTGGTTTTGGACACATTTAACCAAGGAATTTTAAACCGTGTGGGACCAAAAGCTATTGTTATATGTCAAAGAAGCAAATCTGCATGGTCCAGTTAAGAGAAAGTGACATATTGGTGGCAAGCGGAGGATGATAAACCACCACCACCACCACCACCACCACCACCACCACCACCACCACCACCACCACCACCACCACCACCACCAC